GTTGTGCATATGCGTACATCAGAGTGGTGGCGTTTCGCTGCTTTAGACGTACTTATATTAAAAAAATGCTGAGTGGCGGGGAACCTCAAAATAGGCACTCTTTGCTGATCACTGATTCCAGTTGCGAACACAATTTTTCCAGCCGAGTGAAGTTCAAATCATAGAAATTAACTAAATTAATTATATCAACAAGTATTTACTTCCTTTTTTCATAAACGAATGGCCCGTGTTTATAAATTTTTAAATTTAACGAACTTATTTATTCAAATTATCGTAGACAAAAATGCAACCATGTGCCACAATCATATGTTTTTCGTGATTGCAAATTCTTGCTGGTTAAAATTTTTTTAGCAAGAATTTGCAACTTATCTCAGGAGAACTGTCACTTTGCGCTCTCAGTTTTTGAGTGATGGATAATTTTATGGTCTGCACGATCGCGATTTGGGCAAAAATCATTATTATTGGTACAAATTCGTAAAATTTTTTTGCTCGACGAACAAACCTATTTTGGTTCCATAAATGATCAAACAACGCATAAATAGAAAGAAACGCACAATCGATTCATATGATTCAAACTTGCGTACTGTACATATAACAGAGTATATAGCAATTTGAACCAACACTCACAATTGATGCATTAGGGTCTGAAAGGCATAGGCATTCGTTTTGCAGCGATATAGCTGTTGGATATTCGATGAATTTTATCCCTTTTGATAAATGTAAAACTTTCGAATTGAACTATGTACATATGTAGCGCCAGTATGTCAGGTTGTGAGTAGCATCCAAGCAACATAAGCGTAATGGTTTGATTATGGCAACTTACCGTAACTCACGGCTCTCACTTATGTAAAAATTCTGTTAAATGTATGTTGGTTATAATCAGGCATGGGCAGAGAACGAGCACACGCTCAAAGAGCATAACCATCACGTGTACGTATGCAAGCAAGAGCGTAACGATGAGAACGCGTCAGCATGCAAAATGAATTAGGCACACTAACACATTCTCACTTTTAGCGATCGCTTGTTTGAGGTAGTGCCCACCTCTGGTTATAATGGAAAAGCCGAAACTTAACGTAACTGACGGCCACGTCGAAGACTGTTTCATTTTGATTCTCTAAGTTCTACGTTCCGTTAAGTTAAGTTAAGTTGCCATAATCAGGCTTTAACACCTCACCAATCTCCTAGCAACATCCAACAAGTGTTGCATAGCAGGGTTGTTGCGAATATTCGCATTCGCATTCGCAACTGCGGAGCTTCCGCATTAATTTTAACATTCGCATTCGCAAAAATCAATGCGGATCTTTTGCGAATGCGAATATTGAAGGGACCGAAAATTTCAGTTATTTTTTTTACGAGTTAACCTTGGCCAAATATTTTTTATTCCGAAATAAAAGTACTTTCCGCTTATCCAAATTAAACAAGTTTGGTATCCAATGAAAGAGGGCTTAAATAGCTTTAGAACTTAAATGTCTAAAAGAGGAAAGCCACACATTGAAAAATATTTCAATAAAAAATGTTAATTAGTTACCATTGAACAAACATTGAGTCAGGTATGTATTTACATGAATTTCTTTAGTATTAAGTTATAAAAAAATATAAATAGAGGTGGTAACCTTCATTCGATATTTCTGTTTAAAAGCTATTTCAGTCCTCTTTCTTTGGATACCAAACTTGTTTAATTTGGATAAGCGGTTTCTTTATTATCCGGATAGGACGTTTATTTCGGAATAAAAAATATTAGGCCAAAATTTAACTCGGAAAAAATAACTGTTATTTTCGGTCCCTGGAATATTGTGCAAGTTCACAGACGTCTAACCAGTCACAGAAGAAAGCATTAAAAATGACGTGACAAATTCCGAAACAACCAAAATAATGACAATGAAGAATTCTTTCGAAAAAAAACGGTGTTTAAACAACGATTGTGCCATGATGCTAGATTGTGAAGATGAAAGTCAGGAGGATATATCCGACATTTGCAGCCCCGATGAAATTCTCAAAAAGCAACTGAAAGTCCTCTCAACTGGTGCAGTGTCAATCGAAAAGGATTTAAAATTTTTCCAAGTTTCAAGTTTTTCAAGTTTGTCGCCTCGAGCGAGTAGTTATATAGTGGCGCAGGTTTGATTTACGATTTACTAAAAAAACATTCAGTCTTATCATGAGTTTAATTTTCCCCCAAACCGGTTCACTTTTCACGTTTGGTTTTCATGTACATATTTACTATGGGCGGAATACAAATTTTCGGGTGAATTTTTTTTCCGGGCAAAACTCAGGATGAAGCAGATTATTAAAAATTATTAACCTTTCCATTTTTTATTTACCTAAATCACCTAATTTAACCACCTAAATTATTTCTTAAAAATACATGACATCCGCATTCGCATCCGAATCCGCGGATGTTAGCTTTTAAACATCCGCATCCGCATTCGCATCCGCGGATGTCTAAAATTCCACATTCGCAATATCCCTATTGCATAGCAACGTATGTGTTTGTTTATTGGTAACAGGCCCACCTAGGGCTCGGGACTCCCGGGATTCGGTACTAGATGCCTTACTGTGAAGTAGAGAGCGCAATAGTTCGGGTAAATGAGTCAACGAAGGTCTTTATGTAGTATTGACCTACACAACACAATCCTTGTGTCTCCGAATGAGACTGTGACACTTACGGCCAGGGCCTTCGAGAGAAAACTCGGGCCCCTATATATAAGTTGTATTGGCGAAGGTTTTTATTATATTTTATAAGGGACATTTTTATTTTTCATATTCTGTGTTTAAAAATTTACCTCTGAAAAATGCAGAGCTGATTTAAAGGACAGTTAAAAAAATAAAGGACAAAAGGCGTCCTTTATTTTGAAAAAAATTATAAAGGACAGGGGTATAAAATAAAGGACTGTCCTTTAAAATAAAGGCAGGATGATCACCGTACCCACACTTAAACTTTATATTCTTTCTAACTCAAATAGGCTCAGAAAATAAAACTTACGTAGAAAAAAAAACGCGAGAATACTATTATTTCAAAAAGGAACGAGTCCGAAAGAAGCAGAATAAGAAGGTAAACGAAGAAGATTTTATGATAAATAATAAAATCTAGTACTATTATTAACCTTCAAAATGCACTCTCGAATGGTGTTATAAGATTTTTCCTTCAAGAGTTACGGCCACTTAAATTGCCGTGTCCTCGAATCTGACATCACCAAACCAATTTCGAAGATTGATCGAAAGGAAACGGATCGCAGAATACCAAAGTTGCCAAACAGAGAAAATTTCGATTCGAGTCGAAATGCAGAATAGGGCTGAATAGTCTGAAAATACAAAAAAAAATGCATTAATGAAATCTTATACACATTAAATAAATAAATTTCAATAATTTGTTTACCATTTCACAAACCGAATTACCAAGAAATAGAAACTCACCGCGATGCGATACAGAAATAAAAACCAACAGGGCTGCATTTTCTTGGTAAACAACACAAGCGATCAGAGCAAACTGATCCGCAAAATTATTTTGTGAAAAATAATAGTTGAAACACATGATTATCACATTAACTCATAAGTGCAAATTATTTTTAGTTGCATATAATTGTATTACCTTAGCATTTCTAAATGTTTTCTAATATTCATTATTTTGGGACCCAAAAGCAACCATGCGCTCAATTTCTTGTGGGGAAATTTGGTCCCCATAAAGGACTTTCACCACGAAACAGCTACAAAAACAAAAACCTTTTCTACTGTTATACTGTGCTCATAAGGGCCACAGATACTCGGCCCAATCGCGAAATTCACATGAACAAATATTCCCAAAAATTATAAAGCAAAACAAAAACAATTTTTCCCAACTCGTTTTTGTTTTGCATGTTAAAGTATGGGAACAATTTATTCACATGGAATTAGCGATAGGGCGGACTGTTTTCAATGATGGGAATCGCAAACACCAAAAATAAATATTTATTTATTAAAAACATTAAAATTTTATCGTTCACTTCTTTAGCGTTTGTTTTTGTTTTGGAAAATTATAAAGTCAACTCAAAGTAAAAGAATCAACATTGAAATGCGACAAAACAAAAAGAACAAGAACTTCGTTGATAAGCAAAACTCTCGGAAGCCAATAATTGCATCATGATTTGTTTTCAAATAAAATAAATTGTAAAACAAATTTTAAGCTCAACTAATATTTTCACCTTGCACAATTTGAGAGTATTTCCTTATCACCGTCAACTATAGTTTCTAAACTTTCTAGTGTTGGAAGGCAAGTTTGGTCCTTGTTTAATACTTGCCGCACGTTAATATTAATACGTGAAAAATCTAAGTACTTTTTAAAGGGTTCCCAGTACGATTCGTCGGCAACTTTTTGGTACAACAATGTGTCTATTCCAAACGCATTTTTTTCTGTTACAAATTCGGGTCCGATTTTCGGTTTTTTACAACTCGGAGGATGTAAAGTTTTTGCGGTCGTTGTAGGTACTAAATTATTCCACGGTTCATCCCGAGCTTTCATTACTCGGGGTACTGCATGATAGAATAGACGTGATTCACCAGACATTACAAGCACATCTCCGCTGCGTAAGTAAATGGCTAAAGGTGTAACTTCTTTCGTTTTTCCACCAATTAAAAATATGGCTGTTTGTCCGAAGCTAAATTAAAAGCAAAAATATAAGACTTTAACCAAATATTAGACATAAAAGTTGCATCAAACCTTATCGAAAATAAAGGCGCCGTCCTGTTAGGTTCTGAATGATCAGTATGAGCAGACAGGGTTGTGCCTATTGGATAAAAATTAACAATAGCTGCTTGTGCTTCATAGTCTTGAAAACCTAAGGCATTCGCAAAATATGCACTAAGCGACGCAAGGTCTTCCGGGAATTCACCATGTTTTTCTTCTGCGTACTTTTTTGAATCCCAATCGTGGTGGTATCCAAGCGTAGACCACCGCATTGAAATGCTCATTCGACGAACTTCATCTGGATCGCTACATTTTTGAAGAGCACACCACCAATCTTTTAATACATCGTTGGGAAAAAGGTGCGGGTTAAGATTATTTATATTTGGATGTCGGGGGTAATCTTGAACACATCGACTAATCCAGTAACGTTTTCCTTGTAAGGTGAATGGATTCCGTATTACAATAATGCCTGAAGAGGAGAGTGCGAAGCAGAGCCATTTCTTCGCTGGTTCTAAACCAGGAAAATGCTCAATTATATCTTGAGAACTTAGATCTATTCGTCTAACCTACGAATCCATAAAATTTTATAACGAAATTGAATGTTCAGTCGTCCCGTAAAACTCACCTCCGCAGTTGACGGTTTGCTATCGAGATCAATTACAGAGCTAAAGTCCGGCAAAGGAGATTTTCTTTTAAAATATTTAAAGCTCTCTGTAAACATTCCAATATAGCCAAAACAGTTAACTAGAAATGCCGAAAATAGGAATGGCAAAGTCCACTTCGAATTTCGACCAAAATCGACTTTTTACTCCTGAAAGTCGAATTTTAATGATCGACTTTCAGTTTATGGAAGTCGACTTTTCACTTTCGACTCGACTTTTTTTTAAATTTATTTGCCAATAAAAACTAATCCTCCGACAAGCTCGCAGAGTGCTGTTTGGTCGTATTTAAAAAAAAAATTTTCAATAAACCTGAAGTGAAATGTGAAGTGTTGTAGCGAAATGAATTTTAATGACAGTACAACAGTACAAATCATTTAAGAGCAGCGCATTAAATTATTATACGAAAACCAATTCCTCAAATTTGTTAATCGTTTGTCTCCACAATCTTCAGTTAATAATGAGGTAAGATAAACATATTATATTATTATTATATTTATTTTAACAATTTCATGCAACAAAGTTTTTCTGCTTGAGTTTATGTAAGTTTTAACAAACAGTCTTTGGTTCGAATTTGACCAATCCGTAAGGTATAAAATTTTAAACACCGCTAAAAACGTTGCTGGTAGGATTCCAGTTAATATGCGACATTAGTCGTGTGGATAGTCCCAATCCACTAGCTGTCTGGGCTACTCCCATATTTATCCATGCTTATAAAGTGGCACATATATTTCTACCAATACCCGCCAGTTCTGCTCCATCGGAAAGGCCACATTTTTCAAAAGGTTGTCCGTAATTACCAAATATTGATTCAACATTTTTTAGAATTTTTTTTTGAGAATCAAAAATTTTTTTTCAAAAATTTTCATGCTGTATAACTGGAACAATTTTCGAAATTTTTAAAAATCCTTGTGTCTATTTTTTTTTTTTACCTAGCATTGAATTTCACTAAATTACAGTTTATTCTAAAGACCACTGGTAAATCATGATATTTTTGGCGTATTCTGACTCCTATATTTATAGCTAATATATGAGTTAAATGAGTGTACTTAATACATTTTCTTTTATTAAAAAAGTCGAACAAAGTCGACTTTTCTTCGTGGATCGGCCGACTTTTAAAGTCGACTGTGCAGAGTTGATCAAAAAGTCGAAAGTCGACTTTCTAGAGAAGTCGAACTACCCTAGCCGAAAAAAACATCGATGCGTCAAAAATATCGATGTTTTGCTTCGATGCATCGAAAATTATTCACTTGTCCTGTGACAATCAGTAACTTTTTTCTCCGGGGCGAGGCGGGGCGAAAAAATTTGCTATGGTGTAGGCCTGGGTAACGTCGCAAATTTTTTGGCGCTGACACACTAGCTACAGCGCCACTGTCGGAATCAGCACAGTGTGTTGGCGCAATTGCGCCTCTTCAGGCTAAAGCTCATTTCCTTTATTGCTGCATGCGGCACCAAAGTGAATTAATACAAGGTGATATAGGTTGAGAAAAAACTCAAGTATATCCAAGTTCAAAACCCAAAAATACAGCAAACCCATCATTTTCACATTCAGAAGGACCGCGACGAATTCTAGCAACACCACCTTGTATAAATTCGGCTTGTGCTGCACATTTAACAAGAGACACTTCTATTTCGTGTGTTCTTAACTGGTTCTTTGCGACACCCGGTGTTGTCAGTGTTTTGGTGTTGAACTAAGGTGAATTAATACAAGGTGGTATCGATTGGGCAAAAACAATTCAAATATACCCAAGTTCAAAACGCAAAAATACAACAAACACATAATCGCGGCTAATTTTAGCAACACCACCTTGTAAAAATTCGCCTTGTGCTGAACATTTTACAAGTGCTACTTTGCTTTTGTGTGTTCTTCGCTGGTTCTTTGCGCCGCCTGGTTTTGTCAGGGTTCCGGTGTTGCTGGCGCCATTGCGTTACTGAATTCTGAACTTCGGTGTCGGCGCCAGTAACTCAGTTCTCGGTATCAGCGCAATGGCGCGGCGCCGCACTGTGTTACCCACGGCTACTATGGTGTAGAAATAAATTAAATTTTGCTTTGCCAAATGCTAAGTAAAATTTTGACAGTTGAAATTCTTAAAATTTATATTTGGTTTATAACTAGCAAGTAACGTACGCTTTTTTGTGCTTTTCAGCTTTCATTTTCATGCTCACTCATTAAGGTAAGACCGCACTATGCGACTTCAATTGTGATTTCCCGAAACCTGCCAAAGGTAACATGCAAAGATCTTTTATCTAGGCGACGATATAACATTTAGCTTAAATATGCATCTAAATAAAATATAAATGTCATTATTTTCGCAGTTGAGGTATATGCCAGGCGAGTAACAGGTAAATACATACACATGTAAGTATACCTAAATTACAATGTTGAGCTTGTTGCAGGACCAATGCCCGACGCAGTTATGTCTTTATTTAATAACGGCTCTATGACAAAATATTCAAGAAATATATTCTTATGGCCTTATTCGTAAAATATAAAGTAGCTTTAAAAAACGTTTATAAACTGAAAAATGTATGAAAACGTCACTTTATAAAGCTCTTTAAACCTACTTTATTTTTTATGAATAAGGCCATTAGATTTTATTTCATACATTAATATCGCCTGATTTTTTTTTTAATAAATACCAGGAACAAATATTTAATAAAAAACTATTTCACTTAAGCTTAACCAACTTTTAGTTACTCGGATCTAATTTTGGAACGCTTCATGAAATATTTTCATAGACAGTAAATGCAATCCTAGGTGCATCGTTAATGAAAAAACAACATTAATGAAAAAACAACATTATTTTCTATTTTTATTATTATATATTTTTGAAATAAAAATACTCCACCTTGTACACCAGAAAATTTCTTTAAACCATCTTGCGCTGCAGTTTGTTTATATTATCTTTACGGTTACCGAAATCACCAACCTCAACGTAGTGGCCACAGTAAGTTCGAGGCTTTCTTGAAGTGGGATCCAACAGTGAATATTTCGTGCGCCAAATAATCAACGCACTGAATATTGTGCGCTTTGTGCAATTTGCGTTCGATCACAAAGTTGTCAGAGTTTGGGACACTTTGATGGTTGTGCTTGACAATTCCACGTTTGTATATCAATTCACGAACTGATATAAGATTTAGATAGCCCAATGTAATATAGGGTTCGGCAATCCGTAGCATATTAATGGTTGCCTGGTTCAAGTCGATGAACAAACCGTTGTTAATGTAGCGAAGATGGAACCACAGTAAAACTTTACGCACTTTTGGTGCAACTTTGTTGACACCGCAGATAAAGATCACAAAAGCCATTCTGCGGGCACGTACTTAATGAGCGGGAAATGTGGTTCCACTGCTCGCATATGTCGGTTTGTTGAAGAGTGCTCTCAGAGAGCAGGTGTGTGATTGCAGCTTTTCGACGTTAAGCTTTCCTTGCATATTTGGGCTCACATTTTTTGCTGCACAGAGGCGGGTGCGTATCTTGGCTGCAACAAGAAAGTGGTCCGAGTACATGTTTGGGCCTCGGAGTGTGCGTACGTCTAAAACACTGGAAGCGTGCCTTCCGTCCGGATTTTTAGGACCTAAAAACCTATAAGAAGGCAAAATAAAATAACGAAATAGACTATAAAAGGCAAAGTAGGCAGAAAAAGGCACTAGAAATCGCAAAAAAGTAAAAGAAGGTACTGAAAAAGACAAAAACCGAAAAATAATAAAAAATACATTTATTTTAGTAATGTTTATTTTACAAGTAAAAAGAAAAAAAACTATGAACTACTTTCATTATATGAAAAATTTGTACTTTGAATCTTTGCCTATTTTCTTCTTTCGAGTTTTTGACTGACAAAACTTTAATCTTTAATAGTTGTAGTCATGATCAAGGCATATTAAATAAGGTAGAAGTGATTTTGACATTTCTCTCTTTTGAACACCGCCTATAATGTCAACGCTTTTATCAACTTGCAATGTTGTGTGTCCAGACCACCATATATACTATAAATGTAGCAAAGCTATTTATGGCAAATTCTAGATATCAACCTCGTTGTAGGCATCATACCAAAGAGATACAACTAGAAGACTCTAGATGTCGCCCCGCCAGAAGAAGTTAAATATTGCGCCTAAATATATGCCATGCTACAGCGGAAATGGACGACACGCCATTTCTTTAAATAAAATTAACTGCTGCTATATGTATGTTTTTTGATAACTTTTGATTTTGAAATTTTAGCAAGTCATTATAAACATTTATGAGATTGAAAATGAAAAGCGTGGGCCGCATGTAATAGACCTGAATTGATATGAAACGTAATATATGTATGAATGTGGATATATGAATAACGACCGCTTAAAATCCATCTAATGTTTGTACTTGCTCTGTAGAAATTTTAGGTCTATGTTATATAGTTTGACTATTGTCAATTACATCGAATGCTTTGTATTGCATGCCCTCCACGTTTTTCGTTTTCAATCTCATAAATTGTTTATAATGACTTTTGCTAAAATTTCAAAATCAAAAGTTATCAATACAAATTCTATGGGACTGAGAAATACTATTTTCTAATTTTTAGTCAATTTATAAGAGCGTTGGTTATTAAGAAGTTTTCTAATTTTATTTATTTTCATTACAAATTCAATTGCGTGCTGTGGAATCAGAGAAAGCTAAATCGTGGACATTCTTAATCGAATATACTCTATCTCTTTAGCAGAAAAAAAGGAAATTTCCATAAAATCCTTTCCCTGGTAATCAGCATGTATCAAAAATAGCTTTAACATTTGTCGCATTAATTTGTTTCCATATTTGTTGGCCTGTATGATGAGCTGTATTTTTATAAAACAATAATAAACATTAAATAAACCAAGCCGAATTCATATAACGTGGTAAATACAACAGTTACTTGTATTTTGTTTTTGCTTTTAGCGGGCCATTAACAAAATATCAGCTATTCTTCCCCGAATGAAAAAGGGAGACTCTCATGTTTTCACTCATTAACTAGCGAAATGCAAAATTTTCAAAATCAAACGCTACTCACAGCTAATGAAACAACACCACCTTATATAAATTCGCCGTGATATGAACAAATAAAAAATGTTTGAAGTTAGTCAAAAATCGCGTTAATTTGTGAGATTTTTTTGTTGCATTTTTCTATACAAAGTATTTTCGCACACTTTTTTGTATGGAAGAAACTGCGTGAAAAAATTATCAAAAGCAAGTCCTAGCCACTTCTAACTTGCACTTTATTATGATACAATTTATTGGGCTACTACATACTCAAAAAAAACATGTCATTTAAAAGTAGAGTCCGACCTGATTCCAATTTTTTTTCAGGTACCGATGCCGATTAATCGGCTTATGGGGAAAGATGCCGATGCCGATTCCATAAAAAATTACAAATAAATGCATTAAGTCATAAAATCAGTTAATTTAACGGAGTTAACAAAACAAAAGAAAACAAATAATTGAATTAATTGGCTTTTTATGCAACATTACGTACACATGTATGTACATACATATGTATGTGTAAAAATAAATCACATTTATGTACATTACATAAACATTTTTTATATTGTGATAAGTAAGAAATATTTAGGAACAACAAATTTCATTTCGTTTGTACTAAAATACACTCTTTTGCACTCAATGCATACGAACTTATATGCTAGGTATGTATTTACATACATATACATAGTGGTCCACAAAATAAAATAATTGCGATATTTTGACCGGTTTTGGCATTTGGCATTTGTCTTTTGTTTATTTAATGTTTATTATTTTTTTTTATAAAAACTAGCTAACAACAAACACCATATAAATTCAGATTTCAAACTTTGTACAAAAATTAGAAAAATTCTGCTTATTTTCACCAAACTTTCACACTTTTTAATAAGAATTTTGGTATGCAGTTTTGTAGACCATTTAATTCTAGTATAAAATGAAGTGCAAGTTTTAAGCTGCTATGAAATTCCGTAAATTTTTTTATTTTATTTTTTGCGGAAGTGTCCTCCATATAAAAGACAAGTAATTTTTAGCAAAAAACCGACTTAAAAAAAATATATATGTATATTTCATGATCCAATGATCGGATCTAAACCAGATTAGTATGGGACCACCTGTGAGACACTAGTGTTCCGATGCAAAAAGAATTATCGAAATCGGTTAACGTGGTCCAAAGTTATGCGGTAACATACATAAGAAAAAAAAAATATTCCGACGAACTGATAACCTCCTCCTTTTTTGGAAGTCGGTTAAATATTAAAATTGTCGAACATACTTTTGTATGGAAAAAACGTGAAACACCTTCAACAAAAAAAAAAAACATAATTTTTGTGAGCTGTCTGCAAATGTTTTTTGATGTTGGCTTTTGTCTGTCGCTTCACCTGAACATATGAAAAGAAATTCCAAAGAACCGGCGATGCCGATGCTCAATTTTGTGCCGATACTAGCCGATGCCGATTAATCGGTCGGACTCTATTAAAATGTTGAAAATTTGTATGAAAATTTATTGAATTCTCCCGTGTTATGCACGAAGTTTGGAAATCATATTTTTATGTTTTTTGTTGTAGGATGAATCATATTTTTATAAAAAATTAGCGAGAATAAATTTAAATAAAAATTGTTGCATATGTATATTGTAAAAAATTCTCTGTGCCAGACTTTTTGTCGGCAGTGTATATGTAAGTGTGCAACAGTCGGTATTGAGCTGGTTTCCAAAAAAATGCAGACACTGAGAGAACCCGATTCGATTACGGCGGTTACCTTCGCGCCAATTTGTGCAAAGAACTTTCGAAATAAAAAAAACTAAATTTTTAAGATTATTTTGATTTAAATGAAAATATGTCATGTTCTTAGTACAGAAGTGCAATTTTTGAAATTTTGTACAAACTGTTCTTCATTAAATTTATTTCTTAAAAATTTTGAAAATAGTTTAGTACTAAGTATAATAATAAATTTTTACTGTCTACAACTTTGCTGAGAGAACCATTAATATATATTTTATTATTATTATTGAAATTATTACCAAATTTTAATCATTTAAAGATACATAAGATTATTAATTATTTTATTATTATGAATGGAATATATAATATTATGAGTACAGTATTTCATGAACTTTTATTATTTTATTTATATTTCTTGAGGATAGTTGGCATTGGTTTATAATATTGTATAGGTGTCTCACGAGTGCGTTTAAATCCAGATCCAATAAAAGTAGATGTTGGTCGTTTTATGGGCACTGTTGATGGGATAACTTTTACTTAATTATTTTTAAAACAATTATATTGTATGTTATTTTCATAAAGTTATTTGTAGTTGTTATGTTATTCTCAGAAACTCATTAAATGATTATAAAATGTTATTTAATTGCATGAATTTTAAAAGACATTAAACTGTTAGAAACTTAAGAGTTCTCATATGTGTGGTTAATTATAAGAGGAAAAGCAAAGTAGAGAAAGCACTTCCTGCTCCCTAGATAATATCTAACAAAAGCTTTAAACTTAACTTACCTTTAGCATATGGTAAATATACTGGTCGCTTTATAAAACGACTTTGATACACATCCCCTTCTTCGTCTGACTCTTCGCCCCTGAAATAGAGTTCAAATTTATTGGTAATCTTATAAAAAGGTTTTCTTAAGACGATTTCGCCTTTCGTATTAATATCTAACCGAAACTACCGTGCGCTGAGGTATTGAAGAGATATTGAAGAAAAATAAAGTTTTTTCTAATAGCCGGCCGCCCCTCGGCAGGCACTGACAAACCACCATGGAAAACAGCTTCCCATAAAAATACAATCGCCGCCGGAGTCGGCGTAAAATTGTAGGTCCCTCCCTTTTGTGTGACATCAAGGCGCACGCCAAAAATCGGAGGAGAAGCTGGGCCAAATATTAACATACTGTTAAAGCGCCAATCTATTATTATTATTAAACAACCGAAATTAGAAGTTTCAATTATTTTTTAACCGACTTCAAAAACTGGAAAAGGGTTATCAATTAATCGGGATGTATTTTTTATGTACATGTACATACATACATATGTATGGTCACCCTCATGCCAGAAGCATGAATGTGCAAGTTTATCAGGTTTGAGTTGTGGGTTGACTTGATTAACCCTTTAGATAGAACATCTATATATACCTATACCAAAACCCAGAAAACCATGCGTACCCGGAAAGCACATATTTTAAAATTTCAATTGCATAAATGTAGGGTTAAGTCTCGTAAAAAAAAAAAACATTCAAACTTGATTTTCCAAAATTTTCATTTTTACACATTCATGTTTCTGGCATACGGGCGACGATAAAGTTTAAACAGAATCAAATCGCTCAGAGAAATTCGTCGGAAGAAAGTTCGTTGCCAAAATTAGAACACACCGCAGTTTATGAGATTGCACACAACCAATGTGACGACGAAATTCGTCTGACGAAATTCGGCAAGAATTTTATATTGGGGTAGTTGAGTTGGGGTAGTGCACTGAACTTTCAGTTGTGCCACATTTTTCACTACTACTCTTGATGTGTAGTGTTGAATTGCAATATATCGACCTCACTACTCGGCAAGAATAGATTTATTTTTAATTTTGCCGCTGCCGCAGGTCACAAAATCAGCTCTCAGTAGAAATGGGGCTTTGTTTCCCCATTTTTCTATCAGATAATTATCAGCAGGAATCAGAATGGCAAAATTTGGTGATTTATCTTTTCGCTTTTGTATTTTTAAATTTTTTATCTGTCATTCAATTGATGCGAATTTCGGTTCTGTTATGTTTTACTGGGCGAAATGTTGCGGCGAATATCACCCAACGGCATCGCTCCGACCGACGAAATTCGAACAGAGATTTGGTTCTGTTTATACTTACATACATATATGTTACCGGATAAAGGTTTAGCCACACACATCAGTGCCGTGTCAGTGCAATATCAGTGTCAGTGAAAAATAAAATATCGTTGCCTCAGTCTCAAATAGAGTTCAGACACACCCGGCACAGCGCCGTTTTTTATCGTCAGTGCTACTTCAGTGTTCGTTCCGTGCTTTTTAAATAAGTCGGCAACGATATTTTTCTGTATTTCACTGACGAGCTAACGTTGTTCTATTCAGAGTTGGGGGTAGTGCACTAAACTTTCAGTAGCTAGTAATAGTGCAACATTTTTCACTAGTACTCTTCAGTACTGGTTAGTGTTGAATTGCAATATATCGACCTCACTATACAATAGTTATAGGGAAATAAAAAGTTTGTTCACTAAAATTAACAATCGAATAGTGAACGAAAAAATTCTTCAGCCTAGTGAAAAATGTTTTTCTTCACTAAACTTGATAGTGAAAAAAATCCAACACTAATGTTAGTGGAACACAGAAACTTTCATTAAATTGAAAATTTGAATATTTTTAATAATGACTCAATTCCAGGCAGGTAGGAAATTTTTGCGAACCTTGTATTGTTATTCACGAACCCGCCAAGAAGAGGATTAACAAATAACTGCAAATATTTATAATGCATTCAATACATCCTTACGATTCGCCGCGATTTGTTACGACTCTCCCCATGCAATATAACCAAGGCACTAAGAAAGTACGCACTTTTATTTGCAAATTATAGGTGAAAGAAGACTGATTCATTTGTTCGGCATTTCTTCTTTCTCGATTTCTTTCTTGCAAGGCGAATTCATATATTCTTATCACGAATTCATATATTCATGCAGTAGCAAGAGTATAAAAACATAAAATTACCTTATAAATTATACGCACAATTATCACGTTTATGCGTAGTCTAATTCACGAAATCATTTCATGGATCTGAGTAAAAACTCAGTGCATAAACTGCATTTCGCGTATAATTGAAATCAAGAAATGGTGTTCATGCACTCAGATTCTACTCAAACGCATGAAATGATTTCTTGAATTTGCCTACGCATAATGGTAGTAAATGACACAATTAATTACAATAAACACATCATTTTGACATAATTCAAGCCTTAAACGTTGCGACCGTTGGTTCAGATCGATCCGCAATCAAGTTGCATATATTGCAATTTTGCAAGCAGTCTCATCGCAAAATCTCATTTTTACAATTTCATAGTTTCGGCTTACATTTATAAAATTCAACGAAAGCACGTACATATTTCGGCTGAGTTATCCATTTTAGGTTATTTAGTGAACAAAATAAACGCCAAATAGAACGAGTTTGTACAACATAACCATTAATGTAGCGACGAGTTGTACAACTTGCCAGAAAATCAAAATCAAGACACAAATTCATTCAACAGGCCCACAAACTGCGCAATATAGAGCAAAACATCACCAAGTTGAACCAACGGTCGCTCCGTTTATGGCTTTATTTAAGAAGCACCGGGGCCAAAATTTCAACTGCTCCTGTAACACTACTTATATATGAGGTGATAGAGGAAGCACAAAAACTACTATACAAAATTATACGCACAATGACAAACATGAACAAATGTACAACAAACACATCATTTTTGATAAACAGTACAATTCGCATTGATATCAACGAGCAGGCATGCTAGCGCTAATTAGATTTGTTTTCCTTTGTAGTACATATCTGTGGTCGTAAGCAATAACCGCCTAAGTCGACTTAAGAAAGAATTGAGTTATATATGCTATTGTTTTCTGCAACTATTATTCCATGTCTACGTGAAACTCCCATCTCGTTACCTATTCTATTTAAAAAGTTATAAATGAAAATATTTTGGTTTCCCATAAGGTTAACATTACAATCCAAATCTTTAAAGCGCTTTTTCTCGAATTCAGGTTTTACGACTTAGGCGATTATTGCTTATGACCAGAGATATGTGCATATATACACTGGCGGCAGAAATAATAGACTCGTCGTACTTTTATGAGCTTTGACTATATTACTTTAGTTTGTTTTATGTTTAATATTTTTGTAGAAAAGCCTAGGTAGATATTCATCAAACATCACATAAGTCCGCTTTTCAAACCTTGAACAAAAATTATAAAATTTCGACAAATTTTTACGAAATTATCAAAATTTTTATTCAACATTTTTAGAATTATATTTGGTATACAATTTTATAGCCCATTCAATTTTAGTATAATAAAGTGCAAGTTTCAAGTGGCTATAAAATACCATTGATGTTTTGACAAATATTTTTGTTTACGATGCTAGGCATTCTCTTCCATATAAAAATATTGTCGAGCACACTATGTATGGGAAAAAACGCGTGACAAATTTTTGGAAAATGTAAAAGTCCAAAAGTAACGATTATTCTGGATCGACAAAAGAAATATAAAATAACGACATTTGATCGGAAAAAGAGAAATCCAATTTTAACGGTTAAATTATGATAACCGTTATGGTCACTGGTATTCATAATAACGACTTGTACATACCTGGGATCCTCTTGTGAATCTTTATGGTGTTTAAGTAAATTTAAAAATTTGGATGGTCCTTCACCAGGTGAAAATTTAGTTATGATAGACCTGAAATAAATTTATATATTTGCATGTATATCCATATGTGTTTATATGTTTTTTTATACTTTATCAGTATTTAGTAATAGGACAAAGAGCGACGATAAGAATACTCACCTTGAATATTGTTCAGCTGATTTCGGGTCTATTTCCATAAGTTCACGGAGCTGTCCCTGCGAAACCTCATCGTTCTTATCTGGCACGAGATATTTGCGGATTTCAGCTAAAGCATATGCCACACGTGCATGCGCCTCCGCAGGGGTAGCTAAAGCGCTGATTTCTATATACAGATCTTTGTGCAAATGCGCATGACGAGGATCGCCTGACTGACGGAGCTCCTCTTCTTTTTCACGATCGCGCATTGAACCACGCCCTTTTATAATAATCTTACACTGAGTTTCTTGGTGCAAACGACGTAATGTGTTACCCTTGGGACCTAGTAATTTTCCTGTGAAGTTGAACTGCACAAAAAACGGTGATGTAAGCTTTAAATTTTCCTATTATATTGGTTACCTTGGGGTATTGCCTAGTTGGTACATAAACCTTTTGAGTGACCTTTGTTGGCTTTTGCTGATACACGTCGGCATGGTATTCTGTGCCTGGTATGCGGCCAGTTGTATAGACACGCTCGAAGGCTAGAATTTTAAGATTAAATATTGTGTAGTCTTTACTTTAGAATTATGGAATCGGCTTTATTGAAAATCGCCTTTGGATATTTTAGCAAAACTATCACACTTTTCCGGGGATGCTAAGAAACAAATATGTATAATTAAGATAACTCATGCAGCGTTTTTGCTGCATTTAAAATGCAACATTTAGCACTTTCGAACATACATATGTTTTCGAAGAGCGTTCATGCTATCGCATTTAGCAAATGTACATTTACGCGAGTTCTAAATCGGAAGCTTTTGACAACCAGCAGTGTTCCAGACGCTTATTCAGTAACCGGAACGACCCAGTTGAATTGTGCCGGGTACAACGTGCACCGTCGAGATCGCGAGCGAGATAATGGTGGTGGCTTAGCGTTCATCACGCACCACACCGTGCAGTATCGTCTTATCGAAGCAGACATCGACCGCAGGGATACCACCCTAGAATGTCAGGGCATCGCTATCCGGTCAGGCGATGTCGAGCTCGAAATATTTAATATATACATACCCCCTGTCACCTGCTGCCCGGCAGGATATCACCCTGATATAGGTGCGCTCCTCAGAGGTGAAAACCGTATGGTAGTAGGTGACTTTAATGCGCACCACGATCTTTGGCACTCAAGCCTGTCAAACGATCGTAGGGGAACAGACTTGGCTGAGCAGATAGACGATTCGACATTCTGCACAATGAACGACGACGCACCCACCAGGATTATGGGTAACTGCAGTAGCTCGCCAGACATCACAATAGTCAGCGCTGGTCTGATAAACAGCATAACGTGGCGACCTATGCTGACTCTAGCATCAGACCATCTACCCATAGTCATCTCGATTGATAAACCAACCGACTTTGCCTCCGCCAAACACCGTACCTATGTCAACTTATCTAAAGCTGACTGGAAAGGTTACGCGGAGTTTACTGAAAACACCTTCACATCGCTCCCCACACCAACCGACGTCCATCTCGGTGAACGTAAGTTCCGCAGGGCTGTCACTGCTGCTGCAGCCCGCTTCATACCGGCAGGGTGCATATCGGACCCACGTCCAAACTTCCCTGCCGAAGCGGCTGTTATAGCCAATGAGCGTGATAGCCTTCGTCAGGCCGATCCCGGAGATCCCCGTATCAGGGATCTCAACGCGGAGATTCGGCAACTTGTAAACGTACATAAGCGGAAGAAGTGGGAGGAGCATCTGAAAACTTGCAACTTCACCTCTGGTGTGAGCAAGCTTTGGTCAACCGTGAGGTCATTGTCTAATCCGACGAAGCACGACGACAGAGTCGAAATTTCCTTCGACGACCATGCTTCGTCGGACCCGGAGCGATGCGCGAGCTATTTCAGCCGGCAGTTCATACTGCATCCTCCGGTGGACAAAGCCAAGCGTCGAGTGACCAGAAGGCTGCACAAACTGCCAACAACTTGTGCCCCCCTTGCTTTCACTTGCGGCGAAGTTCAGGTGGCCATCGGGAAGGCGAAAGCCTCCAAAGCCATGGGTCCCGACGGAATATGCATGCTGATGCTGAAAAATTTGGGTCCTGCGGGGGTAGCGTACCTAACGGAGGTCCTCAATTTGTCAATGGCCACTCTCATCATCCCAGACATCTGGAAGGTGGGGAGAGTGGTCCCACTGCTCAAACCGGGGAAACCGGCAAACAAAGGAGATTCGTATCGTCCGATTACACTCCTTTCCCCGGTAGCGAAGACACTCGAGGCCTTGCTACTCCCGTACTTCACAAATCACCTGACCCCAGCGAAGCATCAGCATGGTTTCCGAAAAGTGCACAGTACAACAACAGCACTTAACGCCATAAACACTCAGATAACTCGTGGCCTTAACCGTAACCGTCCCTGTGAGAGAACGATTCTAGTAGCGTTGGACTTGTCAAAGGCGTTTGACACCGTCTGCCATTCCACGCTACTAGAAGATATAGAGGCCTCCTCTCTCCCACAGAGGCTCAAACGGTGGTCGGCAAATTATCTAAGTGGTCGACATTCGTCGGTAATGTTCAGAGACAAAACGAGTAAGCAGCGAAAAATAAAACAGGGGGTTCCTCAGGGTGGTGTCCTTTCCCCGCTACTGTTTAACTTTTATATTTCAAAGCTCCCTCAACCACCAGAGGGAGTCTCGATTGTCTCCTATGCCGACGATTGCTCGATTATGGCGACTGGGAATGGAATTGATGACCTGTGTTCGAAAGTAAACGGCTATCTCTCCGAACTTTCTCGCTTCTTCACTGCAAAGTGTCTAGCCCTCTCCCCTACGAAATCCTCCGCGACCCTGTTCACAACCTGGACGAAGGAGGTCAGGCTACCGCTGGGGATTCACGTCGATGACACACCAATTCCGACGGTGAATAACCCCAAAATACTCGGAGTCACATTCGACAGCCTGCTCTCCTTCTCTGCGCACTCAACCGCTATTGTCAATAAAGTACAGAGCCGCAACAAGGTCCTCAAGTCGCTAGCCGGCAGTACTTGGGGCAAAGACAAAGAAACGTTGCTGGCAACATACAAGGCAATAGGCCGGCCGGTCTTGAACTACGCAGCGCCAGTGTGGTCGCCAGGGACTAGTAGGACGCAGTGGACGAAGCTACAGACGGGACAAAATACGGCACTTAGGACAGCGACGGGATGCCTCCTGATGACGCCAGAACATCACTTGCACGGCGAGGCGCAAATGCTCCCAGTTAGGGAGCACAACATAATGCTCTGCAAGCAGTTCCTGATCGGGAGCCACAGAAGTGGCCACCCAAACAGACACGCACTACACTTGCTCAACTTCGCTCCGGCTACTGCAGCAGGTTAAACTCCTACTTGAGTAGGCTGAATGAGGATGTGCCTAATGAATGTCCGGCATGCGGAGAGACCCCACATGACTCGAACCACCTCTTCGCATGCCCGGAAAACCCGACCACCCTAACGGCCCTGTCCCTGTGGACAGATCCCACAGAAGCTGCACGCTTCCTAGGGTTGCCGTTAGTGGAACTTGACGACAACGACTGAGATACCAACCGATCTGGGCGGGGTTGTTGTAGCCGCTACAACAACAACAACAACCCAGATTAATATCTGGCCAAGGACTGTCACTCCAGCAACACTCCCCAAAAAGTCT